TCAAATGCCCTTCCTCTTTATGCAACAATTTCTTTTGTAAGTGTGTGGTAGTTGTTGTCGTCTCTACTTTTCCAATGTATGCACTCACCCTTTGTAATGCGTGAATAAATTATGTGTGGGAGTGATTCTCTTGTGTGTCCTCTTTGTTTTTTCTAATGCATATATATAGGACTAGAAAATAGACATGAATGATAATAACAATTAACACTATTTTTTTAATAATAAGACAAGAGTAAAAGGAATTAAAAATTATGTTTTTATAATTTTTTAAAAAGAAAATATTAATAAACAAATTAAAAATAAAATTAATTAATAAAAATAAAAATTTATATTAAATATAAATAAATTAAATGATAATTTAAATGAAAATGATAAAAAAAAAACGAAATAAAAAGTCTGGCAGAAAAATACTCGAAAAAATAAAATGAACTCACCAAAATAATCAGCGCAAAATAAACATATTGGAAAAATACAGCGTTTGGTCAGATTTTGAAATAAATTTAGACCAGTTTGCTTGTAAACCCAACAAATTTATTCTGACTGACATTTCAGACACTATGCAAGATGAAGTCTATGCTATGCTATGCAGATGATGCAAAAAAGAATCTTAGGGTCAAAAATTAGGGTATGACACATTGGTAGTCTGCTTTGCTAATTTTTGATGGAATTACAAGGTAGGGAGATTCTTCATCTAAGGGTGCTTATATCATGTAAGGGTAGAGAGATTTCCCTTAACCTCCGTTAGGGTTTTCCTCTTTTCTATTTGATTGATGATAATATGATATATGATGTGTGCAAATCATGTTTTGATGTTGTGAATTGCTATGATATTATGTTGTTGATGCTATGATGTTTCCTATTCATGAGTAAATTAATTCAATGATAAAATTGATGAGAATTTGGGTGTTGTAGGGTATGAACATGATTGAATAATCCATGATAAAATTGATAGAGTTGTGTTGATTAATGATTACTTAATGTGTTTGTCATGTTGAAATATGAATTTGTCGTGTTTGAATTGTTACAATAGGGACTAGTTTGAGACATGAGAGGTATAAAATGGAGAAGATGACTGTTGTTGTGAAAAATATATTTTTCTGGAAAAAATAATGATTACAATTGATTGATACTACCTGTCAATCGATTGCCTGCATACATTTTTGGAAAAAAAAAGGAATGACAATCGTTTGATATGTTGCGTCAATCGATTGATATGCTGATCAATCGATTGTAATTGTGTATTTTTGGAAAAAAAATGGTATTTCAATTGATTGTTGGAATGAATCAATTGATTATTTTGAGTCTTGAAGAGTATTTTGAAAATTCAGTGAGAAAATAGACTTGAGGATAATTGATTGTCATCCCATGACAATCAATTGTTGTTGTTTAAACTTTGAAAAAGATTTCTACGTTAGACATGTTTTATTTCCCCGTGATTTTGGTCGTAACTTTTGTTCCGTAAGTTCAAATGAGATGCCATTTGAAAGTCAGAGAGCTTACACGTAGAGCTACATAGTGGTAGTGCTTTAACAAGAGGATTATTGTGTGATTGTGAGATCATTGTGTGAGTATATATTGTGAATCATGTGTATAATTGTGTGACTATTGTACATGTTTTCTTCGATGATTGATGAGGCGAGTGGTTCGAAGTAAGAACTACTCGCATTATGTTGAGTGCATAATGAATTATAATTAGATTAAGGTTGTAGTCTTTACGATGTTGTTGTGCGAATATTTACAGTCAAAGTGAGGCTGTATTCATCATGGTATTGTGTCATTGTATGATTAACTCATACATCAAATGTTGTTGTTATTGTGAAAGAGGCATGTTCGCTAGTTCATAGTGGGGACTAGTGGCTTATCCCAAGCTAAGAGTGAAGACTTTGAGCTTAGATTAGAGGTTCAGGGTTCACAGAGATTGGAACCATATTCTTATGAAGAACCAAATGTTGAGTTGGTACCGTATGCATATAAAGTTGTTGCGAGTCCAATTCAAAGCGGGGACCTTGATGCGCATGACTTGATTCATCATTACATTATATTACATGATGAAGAGATGCTTGTGTAATGATGAATACTTTTGCCTAATTATGTGTGTGTGGTTATGAAGTGGGTGATGTTTGAATTCATGACGTCGATGTGCAATTTTTATTATATGAATCTATCTTGATTGTATATGCACTATTTATTATTTGAATGTATTCTCACCCCCTTTTTGTGTTGTTACGTATGTGCTTTTATGGAATACAGATAATCAAGTAACTGAGTATGAGCTTGAGGTTGAGAATGATGTTGTGCCTCTTTAGTTGCTTGTCGGTTGAGTTTTATAGTGGAGTCGTTTTGATACGTAACACAAAAGAAACAGATTGTTTTCTATATTTGTTTATGTTGCGTATATTTTCCTTTGGTTTTATTTTTTGGTGAACCACATTTCAAACCAATATGGTTGTTAAGACTTTCTATGCCGAGAATTTCATAATTCCGCTGCTTATCAAATGTTTTGAATTTTCGATTATGTTGCTCTAATATGAGTTGATTGTATGTTGAGTAACATTCTGCTTGTTGGAATTATGTTTTATTTATTTATTTATTTGTCGAGTCGGGAAGTATGGTGTTACAGTCAAAGTCAATCCAACGAATTATGTGTTATTTATATACTTGTCGAGTCGAAAAGTATGATATTACAGTCAGAGTCAATCCAACAAATTATGTTTTATATATTAATAAAATTTATATTTATAGTTTTTTAAATAAAAGAAACCCTCATTAAATTCTTTAAATTTATATTTTCTTCAATTAAGTCCCTAAACAATATAAAATTAATTAATAATATATAAAACATATTAATTTTATCAATTTTATTTTTAATTAAAATTAAAAATTAACAAATTATTTTTATCATCTTAATATCATGAATTAATTTTACCAATTTTATATATGTATTTATTGAATTACATAATAAAACTAATTACTTATTATATTTATATAATTTAAGAATTATATTAAAAACCAAAACTTAATTAAAAATTATTCGTTAAAACTATTTATTTTTGGCAAAATAACCTTTTTGGTCCCTTAACATTAGCCCGGGGTCCATTTTGGTCCCTTATCTTTAAAAAGTGCCAAATGGGTCCTTTAACTTTTAAAATAGTGTCATTTTAGTCCTCAACGTCAGTTGCCCCCAAACGTCCGTTTGTTTTGTATATCTGGCAGATGAGGTGACAATCTTGTTAATGATGTGTCTTCCTTCTCCCTCTTCCTTCTGTTGAAATCCCTAAAATAATCTCAAATCCCAAATCCCAAATCCCAATCCCAATCACGAATCCGTAAATTAATCTAGGGCAAGCATGAAATCTGGATGTTCCTCTTCCATTTCAAAAACAAAAAGTCGGGATTCAGATGTTTGTAGTCGGTCACGACGAAAGCCCATGTGCCATTGTGGAGACATGGTTGTTCTTCAAAGGGCAACTACTGTTAAGAATATGGGAAAACTTTTTTGGGGTTGTCCAAATTATAAGGTATGCAAGCTGGTTTTGTTCTCTGTTGAAGTTATGTTTTTGTGTAAATTATGTTTATGTTTATGTTTATTATCCATCATCCTCTAAACAATGAATCTTACAGGGAGGTATGCAAGCTGGTTGTGGCTTCTTTGATTGGTTTTATGAGGAGATGGGTGATGAGAAGGAGAAATTTTGGATCCATAGGCTGGGTGTGGTAACTAAGGGACTTGCTGAAGTAAAAAAGGACATTGAAAAAGCGACAATGGAAAATGAAGAATTAGGAAAAAAGCTGATGAAACTTGAAATTGAAATGAAGAATATCATGAAGTGGAAAAAGATTTTGAATTTGATGTTTGTGATGATTATCATTGTATTAGTTGTTAGGGGTAGTTAGGTTATTACGGTTTGTTTGGAAGTATTATGTTTAGTTAAAGTTTGTATGACTTTAACATGAATGTAATAGTTGGATTTTAATATATGGATTGTATCAGTTTAGTTAATTTCAGTTTTTGCAATTCAACATGAATGAATATAACAATTTTGGATTATATCATGTCAATGTGTTTTTTATATTTGGTATATAACATTTTGGATTATGTTTGGTATATAACAGTTTGGTATATAACAACAGCATACATAAAGCAGCATACATATAACAGTTTGGACTGCTTTTAGGTTATAGTCTTTTACTCAGTTTTGGTTATACATATAACAGTTTTGGTTCTACATAAAGCAGCATACGTAAAAGTTTGGATTATATGTTTGGTATATAACAGTTTTGCAGCATACATGTTTGGTATAAGCAGCATACATATAACAGTTCTGCTTTTAAATTGATCAAGATTCTTACACTATATACCCGTGGGGGTATATGTACTATGAAGCTGCTTGCACTATATACCCGTGGGGGTATATACACTGAAGATAAAATCTGAAGCATATTTATTCTGAGCAGCATACATATAACAGTTCTGCTTTTAGGTCACAGTTTTTTATGTTTGGTATATAACAACTTGGATTATATCACAATTTTAGGTTCTGCTCTTTGGTATATCACAGCAGTAGAGTACAACATGTTCAAATTATAAACCTGTAATACTTTCCAAAATAACATGTTCATGACAGCAGTAAAATACAACAACTGTAGAACTTGTTCATGACAGCAGTAGAGTACAACATGTTCAGACTATAAACTTGTTCATGACAGCAGTAGAGTACAACATGTTCAAATTATAACATATAAACTTGTTCTGATTGTTGAGCACTCTGAGTTGGAGTATGATTGAGTTGGGCTGATTGTTGGCTAGGTTGTTGAGCAGTCTGAGTTGGAGTATGAGCAGTCAAAAACCCCGTCTTCATGAACATGGGCATCATCACGCATTACAATATCCAGAATGAAGGAGCTACTATAAGCGTTACATAGTCAATATCTTGAACTTGAATAGTTTGTAAAACCCTTCTCCACAATAAAAGAATGAGACCATAACCAGAATGAAGGAGCTAAAAGAAGAGCTTTCTTGGGGGTGCTTTAGATGCAACTGTTGAGGAAAAGTCTGAGCCTTTGAAGGTAGGGGACGCTTGGTTGCTTTCTTTTCCCACTGGTAATCTGTCAAGAAGCTTTGCAGCCCTTGGATCTGTCAGTAGTATCTTTTGGAAGGATTGTGAGAAGCCAGTTGCAATGATAGTCACATGAATCTCACCATTGTAGCGATCATCAACAACAGCTCCAAATATAATATTTGCAGAAGGATCAGATAAACTTGTCACAACCTATAAAATTATCGGTTTTTATAAAAGGGTTACATATACTTTCAACAGATGCACAATATCAACTCAAACCCTGTTTAAGTAAATAACTTAATTAAGCACTTATCATTGCAAACACATCATTAGTGCAAAAGGAATGATAGGATGCTCTTTCAACAAGTGCTGATAAAATGAAGTACCTGAGACACTCTATTCACTTCCTGCAGAGTTATGTCTTTTCCTCCGGTAATATTATACACTATTCCGGTAGCTGATTGAATAGATGATCCAATTAAAGGTGCCAAAGTAGCCTGTTCTGCAGCTTCTTCTGCTCGGTTTTTACCAGAGGAAACACCTACTCCAAGCATTGCAGTTCCAGAGTCTTTCATCACAACTTTTACATCAGCAAAGTCCACATTTATAAGACCAGGTATCTGTACAAAGACATGATAATCCGTATCATCACAATAGGAGAACATCAAAATGTACTTGACTTGACAGGACAATTCGTATCGTCACGATAGAGAATTTATTTAACTTTTTAATAACCTAATTCTCTTTGCAATCTACCAATCTACTGTGATAAACTAAACTTTCTCACATTACAGTGATGAGATAGGAAATATCAATAAATTGTTGATCAACTCATTTTTATGATGTATGATATTCCCTGTACTCCCTGTCGTAGAACATCATTGGCAAGTTGGAAAGCATTCTGAAGAGGCGTCTGCTCATCAGCTAAGTCAAGAAGACGGTCGTTTAGAATCACTATAAGTGTATCAACATTTTCCTGCAGCTTTTCGATGGCTTCTAGTGCCTGAAATTATGACATTGGAATTTCAACCTCTTAAAAGTTTCCTCAAAGCACCACTATGTAATGCTTATATGATATCTAAAATTTAGCTGGATTTTAAAACCATTCATACATGTGTAACAACATAAACATGACAGAGAAAAGAACGGGTAAAGAAGATGCATAAGCAGAATTACAGAAACCAATTATAACTGTCAATTGTGTCAAAAAACCCTAAATTAGAGAGAAATGAACTAACCTTTTGATTATGTCTCTTGAATCGTCTTCAATCCTCAATCAGAAAATCCTAAATCAGAAAACTCTCAATCCTTCGCGTCTGCAAACCTTGAATCGTCTTCAATGACTCAATGAATTCTCCAAAACTCCAAGATATGATTACACTTCTTCAAGCAGCTCCACCTTGTCGTGCCTTCATCTGGTCTGGGTAATGGTGGGTAATGGAACCGTTAGAATTGTTTTTCTTCCTCTAAGACACTTCATATCCACGTCAGCAGCTCCATCTGGGCAAACATGGCACGTCAGCAGCTCCACCTGGACAAACTTGGCAATTTTTTCAAAGTTTGACTAACGCCAACACACGGAAGGATAAACGTGACACCATTTTAAAAGTTAAAGGACCAACTTGCCACTTTTTAAAGATAAGGGACGAACATGGATCCCGAGCTAAAGTTAAGGGACGAAAAAGGTTATTTTGCCTTTATTTTTATTTATGTGGAACAATAGTTGATCTTAAAATCAAAATTATAAATAATTTTATTAAATAAAAAAATACAATATAATGATTTCTATTTAACATCAATTTTATTAAAATATATATTTATAAGGATTTAAAATAAATTATAATTTTAAATGATTAATAAAAAAATAAGTAGTGGTAGTTAAATAAAAAAGAATAAAATAATAAAAGTAAGACTTAAAAATTGACAATGATGGGAATTGAATTGTCGAGCTACTAAAATATACATATAAAAAATTGTTTTTGGTAAGCTATATTTGTAAACAAATTTATTACGAGGTTGATTTATATTTTAAAAAAGTGAAGTCGGTGATGACTTTGCTTGGTTTGCGTTGCCTTTAGGTCGAACCTGGCTATGGTTAACATATACAAAAGACAACCTCCCTGACAAACACTTACTAACTATGTTCAACTTATACAAATGCAAGTTTTTAGAGGATTTCTTAATGCACCATATGATTTATTATAGTGTTTCGCGAAAAGTCAAAAATACCCCTAGAATTTGGAGATACATCACATGCACACATAACTCATTTGTTTTTGAACTACACCCCAATTTTATGATTAAATTTAATTCGAAAATGCATTTTCAAAATGTTTTCGAAAATACATTTTCGGAACCCAAAATTTAAGGCAGAATAATTTATTGGAAAAACAGGAAGAATATGAGGGTAAAACTCATCTCTAATGTTTTCCGTTTCACAACATAGTCGAAGCTCTATTCATCGAAAGTTTAAAATATTCAATGATCATTCTACTTTATTCATGTATTCTCATATTTACACATTACATTATATAAGAATAACAATCATCACAACATTTCCACTTGAGTTTTTGTCGAATGTGACCACCATCTTATTTTGTTTTGAATAACCAGATCTAGTTATTAGTATATTTGTTAGGAAGTTAGTATGTTAAGATCAAACTCAACACCTTATACCTCCCAATCTGTTGTAATTATAGTTTGCACCTAAGAGGGGTGGGTGAATTAGGTACTTTGAAATTTTTTTGGTTTTTATCTTTAAGTTGTGTTTTCTTTCCTGATTATTTTCTATGTTATGAAAGTGATAAAGTGCGGAAAGTAAACAACACAAGGATATATCCTGGTTCCCCTCACAGTCTGAGAGTACTCCAGTCCCTTTTCAACATGAAATAGATTTTTAATATTATTGTGACCTATACAAGACTAATCCTAGTCTTCCTATCACTAACAAACCAAGCACAATCCTCTTAGAATTTTTCACTAAGTTCAAATGAGAACAACCATCTCAAAATGAACCTCTTGTTTTCAACAACCAGGATAACAAGGATAACAACCACACAATCTTATATCCAACAACCCTAGAAAAATAAGATGTGATACAAAAAGGGTTATTGAATTTTTACAAGTATTTGATATGACGATTACAACGTATCAATCCTTATATTGATCTTCTCTTTCAATAACAATAATTCACAAACACTCAAGTGTTAGATTGCTCAAGAATTTTTTGTTTTAGATGATGTGAAAATATGTAGAAAATTTCTTGAATGAAAGTTAAAGACTTGAAATGTAAATCTTGATAATTTGAAACTTTGATTGAAAGAGGTGTTTGTTTGATTTAAAATTTCAAGTACTTTTAAGCACATAACACCCTTGTGAAACATGGTAATGTCTGAAAAAATATCATGAACAAATGCCAAGATGAAATGAAAAGGTTCCATGAAGAGTGGCCTGAAAATGTGTCATGAAAGATATTGATTTTTCATTTTCATTCAGGTGAAAATCGATTGCACATGATCAACATAACAATTTTTTAAAACTTACAACATGCAATCAATTGCACGGTGTAAAAATGTGAAAATCAGCAATTTTTAGGCAACAAGCAGGTGGAAATTGATTTGCATCACTGAAAATTTGAAAAATGATTCTTTTAAACATGTCATGATCATGAGAGAAGTACACAATTATATTTGACTTTATTGAGCATCTAAGACTTTAGTATTTGATAATAATTGTCATTATACCTCCATGAAATGTAATTTGCTTGAATCCAAAGTCTTGAACAAAATGTTTTCATCTTGAAGATCATTTTTTCCTTCTTGTTACTTCTTGTCACTAAGATATTTTGTCTTTGTCAAAACAATGTTCAACATAGAAACTTGATTTCACATTCTCCCCCGTTTTTGATAATGACAAACACTCTTCTTTGATGCTTTTTAATTTCCGAAAAATTTCTCCCCTAAGTTGCATAACTCCCCCTTAATATGTGAATCTTAGAAGTATTTTAATTTGTTCATCTTGAAGGAGAATTTTCACCTTTAAAACTTAAAAACAAGGAAATATACAAGCACAACACCTTTCTCCCCCTTTTGACATTATCAAAAACAAGGGAAAGATGAGTGAAAGATAATAATTTTATGAGAAGAAAAAAATGAAAAATGAAACAACATATAAACCATATCATCATGGTTTATAATATTAGAGTTGTGAAATAGGAATACAAATATGAGATACACATGATAATAAAGTTATGATACTAAGTACCTTACATAGAAAGCTTAAAAAACATGGGACATAATTAAAAGCAACATAAGAAAAACAACATAGAAACTACAAATGAAACATAACACATCATGTTTGATCCATGTCATTGGTGGTGTTGTTGTTGTAGTAGTTAGGACCTTGGTAGGGAAATTGATTTTGGATGGGAGTCACCATAGGAATAGGGGCAGCCAGATTGTTTGGATCATAGGGAGCAATATAGAGGTGGGAGTAAAGGTACGAAAATTGTTGATTCATATCGGTCATAAACTCATTGATTTGGTTGGTGGTGTTTTCATAATTTTGAGAGATTTGGTTGTGAACAAAAGTCCAATGATCATTCATGATAGAGTTAATATTGGAAAATTGAGTGGTCATGTAGACAAATAGAGTCTGGTTTGTTGAACTACTTGAACCATGTGGATGAGGGACTTCTTTACCACCTTCAACATCTTGCACATTGTCTTCATTTTCTATACCATCTTCACCAATATATGTGATAGCTTGCGATTCCGAATCATAAAGAACACCCATCTGATTATCCAAATTCTTGATAGTTACCTTACGAGTATTGGTGTCCATCAAACTATACTTAAAACCATCCAACTCAACTTTAAAGTGTTGTAATATCCGAGTTACAAACCATGCATAAGGTAGAGATTTTGACTTAGTGGTGTGGACTAACATGTGATTCAAAATCAACCAAGACCAATCAACTTTGATGTCATTCTTAATAGCATACAACAATTGCATCTCAACTCCATAACATTACAATGGTTTCCATTCCTCGAAAACAAAATATACGCAACGAAATAATGAAGCAACCGATTATCAATGTAGAAAATTTTGCCCGACCACGACCCTCGTGATGGTTTCACTCCCTAGAGATCCTACTAGTTTCTCATGAAATTCCACTTCGGTCACCCTACTGATACTATAATAAAAATCATGATTGTTATAGTTCTTCCAATTTTCATCCTCTTGTTCATATAGAAGACTACCGGAATAAGGAACGTCTAAAATCTTCCCAAGAAGTTTAGTATTCAACACAATCTTCTTACCCAAAACAAAGGTAGTAAATTTTCCATCTTCAACATGCATATTGCTATAAAACAACCTAACCAAGTCTAGATAATAGGGTCCAGAGGAAGCAATAACAGAGCCTAATTTTAGAGAAACTAGAGTGTCTTGAAAATTAAAACACTTATCAGGAAAGTTAGAGAGATCACCATATTTAGGGGTTTGAACATTCTTCTTATGAAAGAACTTCTCAAATCTTTCCACTTGCTCATTTGTTAGGTCTTTGAGAATGAGAGGAGCATTGGTGGATGAAGAGGCCATTCCTTTTCCCTTTTCTGCAGTTATAGCCTTTCTTTTCATTCTTGAAGCCATGGATGAGAGTTAG